GGTGGAAGGATGATAGGATGGACTGATTAATGGGATTGTAGTCTTTCTTTTACTTGAGTTCAATATTAAGGTAAATTGTTGTATTGTAACCGTGTTATAATGGTGGTTTTAAAACTGGGGTCCGGGGACCAACAGGGGCCCTTGAGTGAGTTTTAGGGTCCCCAGACTTTGTTTGAACAAGGAGGAAAGAAATAGGTTTGTATGTTTTACTGATTGTTATTTATATGGATGCAAGTTTGCTTATTGATTGACTCTGAAGAGCATTTGCACCAGGTCACATTCCTCGTAGGCGTAAAGAAAACCCCTGCTTGGCAATACACAAAATCCTCTCTAAGGGTCCGATCACACAGAGATGCACCGCTGGAGCCGGGGGCCGCTTTTATAAAATGCCTCTGCAAAGAGCCGAACAAAAACAGCTCCTGCGTGGTCTGTGGAGCTGCACGTGTAACTGGGTGAACACATATGAGCAGTTTCTAGCTGTGTGATCGGCCCCTCACTGTGTGCGTCTGTAGGCCTGTGTATTGGCAATAATTTGGCGATACAATACACACGGAGTTACGATTCAATATATTGAGATATATTGCAATTTTTTAAAATGTAACTGCATAAAATCTGAGTAGAGCCTGGGCCCCATGTATGGTTTGATTCCAACCTGTGGCCCTTTTCTGTGTGTAGTCCCCTCTTTCTGTTCCCCCTTTTCCTTTCTATCAGGCTGTCGCAGTCCAAAAAAAAGGCATAAAAAGCCTGAAAAACTTGTGAGATCTGCATTTGTATTTACACCGCCGCCGCCGCCGCAGCCTTAGGGTTAGGGTTAGCTGACATCTAGTGTTTGGGGGTTAAGATGACGATACGATCTGTCTTTATATTTTCTTAGAGCGCTATTGTGACGGTACTTGACAACGTTTGGGAATCAAGCTCAATTAAACTGCATTACAAGTTCAAAATAATAGAATTTTAATTTAGCATTGCGAAGCCCAGCAGTGTGCATACTGATATTGTATTAAATATGTTAAATATGCATGCATCCGAACCACTGACATTTACATACAACAGTTTTTATAGTTGAATGAAGTCTGTTTTGAGTGTTTCTCTGTGATGCCCTTCAGGTGTGTGTTAAAGGAAGATTGTGTTGCATATTAACTAATTCACCATGGACGCAGTTATGTTTGCACTGACTCATTTATCACAGCAGTCGTTGCCAGAAGAGCACAGGTGTAATTAATAACATTAACAATTTCCATTGAAGTGTCACAGTAAGCCGTGTAAGCCTCAGCACCAGAACCCTGGAGCTGGAGAACCCGAAATGGAGTCTGGTTATCATTAATGTTATTAATTACACCTGTGCTTCTCCTGCTATGACAATAAAAAAACTGTCTGCTGTGAAAAAGTTCTGTTGCTGTGTAGATAACCGGATAACTTTCACAGTACATGTCGTGATTGAATAAAACAAGGCAGTGAAGAAAACAGTAAAATAACATTTACTGCTCTTGAGACCAGAGCTTTATAAATAATGTACCTTTTAGAAACTGGGTGATTTAAGGGCCGTACATAAGTCGTTGAGACTGGAATACCAAACAGAATAAAATGGCAGACTAAAAAGTGAATGCAAATGAAATAGGATAGAGTGTAAATGTGACATTGAACTGGTCTAATTTTATTTAAAAGCATGAAGTCAAATAAAAGAGGGATCTCATCTCCTCTGGTCCTTCCTTATATGAGCTGCATGGAGCTGAACGTTCTGCCTGTAACCTGCTCTTTATTTTTCTGTGCAGGTTGATGGCCTGTCTCGCGTCTCCCGTCGGGTCTGCTCTCACCTCATTTCTGTCCACGTTGCTCCCCCGCGGCTTCGCTGTGGGGCCTTCGCACCTCTGCGAGGGCAGGCTGGGACTGTGGTGGGTCGGCCGCTCGCTGGAGGCTGGATCCCTGCTGGGGAGGGAAGGGGACACAGAATGGGCCTCCAAGTATCCCACTGACCCGATGACTCACAGCCCAGATGACGAGCTCACGGAGAACGATGAGTCCAGAACGGGCCAGACCACCCGCACAGAGGCAGAAAAGGTAAATTGAATGCACATTTTTAAAGTGAAGAACAATAATACACAACAGATAGGTAGCACGCAGACAGAGCAGACTGTAATCTCTATTATAGTTATCCATGTAGATCTGTTATCACCCTTTAAATAGTTAGTTTTGTTCATTTTGAGTGTAAATTTTAATGTTTCTTTCACTCAGAAATAAACTCAGTTTTAATATGAAATGTTGAACTATTCAGAAAGGTTTGTTTGAGGAACATGATATACACATAAAGCATAAACACAATAAAAACATGATAAAACCTTTGTAGCAAAAAATCCACTCCAGAATTTAATGAGTTCCTTCCACCACGTTTCATGAAAATCGGGTTGTTTTTCCAGGATCCTGTAAGCAGACTGACGGACAAACACACTGCACCAACAGTGCTGGTACTACACGTGTAGTAGAGAATATAATAAAAAGTTCATGCAGTGAGACAAATATGATAAAGTGAGATTAGATTTAGAAGCACTTGTTGCACATTGGATACATTAAAAGTTGAACCTGTTGCACCTAATGATCAGAAACCTGTCTGTGACCGGAGGGTGTGATTGGACGGTTTAAATATCAACACTTAGGGTCGGTGGCTTAAAGAAAGTTGATTGTTGAGCGTCACCCCCTTTGGGAATTAAAATGTTGGTATTTGATGACCTGGGAACTATCAATCAACTATCTTTCTCAGCTCTGATTGGTTGTTTTCATTCGGGCCCGGTGGATTCTTGCTAATACCATTAGGAGCACAAGAAGGACCCAGAGGAACCAGATTTTTCCACACATTATCTGTCTCATGTTCTACTGTCAGGATGTAATGAAAGTTTCAGCAAATATGACAAAAAAGTTATTTTTATAGAAGTTACTCACTGCAGCTTTAAGTCTGAACTGTTTTGTTTTCTCAATGATCCAGCTGACACTCTGAGGCCCATTAAGTGCACATCCTTAGAAATATTGCATTGCTGTCGTCATGATTGCATACGATAATGGAATTATTCTCCGCATGCTTAACTTAACTGTAGATGTTCTTCTCCATAAGTACCTGTAATTGTGCCCCCTTCAGGAAGCTGAGAAAGAACCATGAACCGGTAGTCAAATTTAGCCTTTTTCAGGAAATTACTACAATTACCATATGTTTGGGCCTGAGTCGTCGCTGCACCTGAACAAGCATCAAGTTATCTAAAATGAGCACCGCAGTTCAAAAACACACAGCAGCGAGCACGCTGCGACAAAGAGGCTGCGAATTCCAGCTTCAAAATCAGTTTTATTAACATTTATGCAGTTTCCTGCTGTTTGTTCCATTTAGATTGAAAATGTCTCAACAGGGGCCTTGACAAGTAAGTAACCTTGCAATAATGATTCAATTTCTGATTTAAAAAGGCAGTAGTCAAGTATCAACCCAGCAGAATGAAGTCCCAAACTTGAATCCATCCTGGCTGACTCAGACTCATTGTTCAGCCTTCTGATTCTTCATTGTGATTTTACATTCACCAGCAGCAAGTTATCTGGTTTTAAAAACTATTCAGTCTCGTTTGCAGACAGAAGGAGGGAAGTAAATGCAAGCCTCTCTTTCTAATTAAGTGTCGACCCTGTGGGAAGATAATGAATCCGTCCTTATCTTTTCCACCAAACTTTCTACAGAAGAGAACACGAGGAGGAAGAGTCAGAGCAGCTTCGCGGATAAAAAGATGTACTAATGATAATTTACAAGGGCACTGCAATCAATACACATTCAAAGCACAAGCTACCTCTCAGTTCATTTTTATTTTGCACCAAGTGGGACTGAGTCAGACAGTAATCATCACTATTATGAACATTAGTATAAAAGTACATATTTTTTCAGACTGTCAATCTCTGTGTTCTTTTACCAGATAGATACTGAACATCATGGGCTACATTCACCAAACATCCTGAGGCTAAAAGTAGCTCGTAAGTGGCTCAGTTAGGATTTAAAAAATCCTAAAAATAAAGGCAGTTTCAGTCCTGACTTCCGAGTTTTTTTGATCTAAGAGTGATTCATAAAACCTTATAGTGTCAAAAGTGGATCTTAAGTCTGAGAGAAGTTAGAGGCAGTCGAGTTTCAGCTCTGACGAACCTGGAATATCTCAGCTGTCTGTCAGAATTAATTCATCAAACCAAAAATTCACTCTTCAGACCCAATTTAGATTAGAGTGCACATTAAACAACCCCCAACTGCAAACACTTATCCAGGATAATTGGTGCTATATTTAGAGATATCACATTAAAATATGATGATTTGTTTTGTCAACTGGAAAAAAATATCACATGCTGATGGTATCTGATGCCAGATCCTTTGTGAGTCCTGATTATTCAGGCAGCATTAGAACAAATGTTGTAATGTTGTGTTGTGTTTTGTAGGCACTGATGGAGATTGCAGCAAATAAAGAAGCTCTATTACAAAGTGCTGTCTGGATCAAGTAAGTTGACACACACTGCTTCACACAAAGGTAGCTCTTGATCTGGTTTGTAGATATTTTGGACTTTGAACTATGATTGGTTTTCATTTATTGTCCTGGACTTATTTCCATCGTTGTTACTGGTGTTTTCACAGTCCACCAACATATTATCATGATAGAAACAAGTTTCATATATCTTAGATTAGACAGAAAAAGACTTAGAACTAATAAATGTAAGGTACCAGCCTTGTTAGTGCCTCTGTGACGCTGTACTTGGGCACAGCCGGGCTTTGAGATAAATGCTAACATCAGCATGCTA